GCTCTGGAAGCTTTAGCAATAACAGCCTTCAGAATTAGCCCATCCACTGCTGGAAACAATGTTTTCTGTCAGCTCAGGTGCCTTGGCCTTGTTCCTCTGGCCTAGTTCAATGACAGAACCCCTGTGCTTCTGGCCTGGGAGTCCTGCTTGACGCTGCTTTGTGGACTGGGCGTTACATCAGACTGCTTATCTGTGCTTGAACCTTGGGCGTTTCCTCAGACCTTCTTCTTAGAACTTTCCCTCTTGCTTGAGAAAACTGTGCCTTTGACCAATGCCTGTTCATTCACTAACTTTTCAATCACCCCTTAGTTTGACTTAATGCTGAGCCTGATCTAGCCATAGCAGGATGATTCATTTCAGTACTTCCAGGTGTCTGCCTTCTGTTCGAGTGACCATGTGTCCTTCTTCCCAGAAAAGTCCTCTGTTTGAAGGACTGTCTAAGGGTGGTCCTTTATTTGATGGGATCCCCCCATTTGAAGGGCTATTCAAAGCAAGACTGGTTTAAAGATACTCATAGGAGAGGGCAGTAGGGCTCCTGAAGTTGTGCATCAACACATACAGCAGCCATACAACTCAGGTTGCCCAGTCACAGGCTTGTCCACATGGTGAGACATATTCTATTGCCATTTGAATGATACCAATCCTTTCCGAATTTACACCTACATAATTACTGCCATTTACAGTTGTTATCTTCTTTGTTCCTTTTTCATTTCTAGTGGGGAAGGCTGGTACAGGCATGTCCTAGAGCTGGAGAACCTTTCCCAGTTGGGGAGTTGCATGTGAAAGGACGGGGCCAAATCCAAAAATTGTGGGGGCCACCACCCATTCTCTCCACTCCTTCGCAAGCAGTGGCTGAGTGTGAGGGGGAGAACATTATGTAAGCCATCCTGAGGCTTTTGCAATAGGACGGCATATAAATATCACAAACAAACAAACAAATTTATTATTGTCTGCCTCCCACAGTCTCCCTGCCTCCTGCTGATCAGGAAACAGCTGAACAACAGAGAAAAGGGAGCCAGTTTGGAAGTTTGATTGGCTTCCATTCTAGTCAATGGGCAGGAGAAGCAGTTTTTTTGTGTTGGCTTTCCTTACCACGGGAGGAGCCATGAGGAGTAGTGAGACTTAGCAGGCCACCGGGCAAGGCCAATTTCTGCCTGCAGGTCTGAGTTTCCCCACCGCTCTCCTACAATTTAATGCTGGAGATTTCTGTTTGGCCTAGTTATTATTTTCTTCTCCAAGCATACCATGCCACAGAGCTTCAACTCCGCAGAGCTTCAACTTGCACAAAATTATTATTTTTTCCTTTACCGAGAGAATCTTTCATTCTGAACTGATCATTAAAATATGAGGCATAATGTATTCCGTGGTTTGCTTTTCAGTTCATGCTGCGCACACAAAGCCAGTAATTTTGTCAGGCAAAACTTCTCCAAGACAAAAGATCTTCTGGAAGGAATAATGAAGCTATACCACAATGTGTGAGAGATGTCTATTGAAAAAATGAATATGGGGAGAACAGCTGTGGATTTTGTGTTTACCAACTGTTGAGGAAAAAATTGAACAAAGGATGACTTTGGGAGAGAAGGGCACTAGCAAACATACATATGCCTACTCAGACATGACTTCAGAGGGACTTTCTCCAAAGTAAGCACGTCTACGACAGAAGAGTAAAAAAAAAGCATGCTTATTGTCTCTTCAATGAACAAAATCAACAAGAAAATGAACAGCCCCCCTCCCCCGCCACCAGTTTAGGACCAGAGCAAAGGCTATCTCATGTTGGCTGAAGGTTAGGCAGATGCCTGAACTGCCATGCTTCATGATCATTGATGAAGTTGTGCAGTGTCAACAGCTTACAGCTTAACTTCTGTGCACCCACCTCTTTCCTTGGTCCTTCAGGCCTAAATCCAGATGAGGAGGATGGAGCATATGGAACCAGCAAACATATCCCCCATCATCCTTGTGCTGTATTGCCATATGAGCCTTACTGTTTTGCTAGAGGGATCCTCCCCTGAGTTGGGTCATGCCTGTTTCGTGCTCAAACCAGTCACCGACAGGATAGGTAAAACATTACATGGAAGATGGGGGAGTTTTTAGCAGTAAAGCTAGATACTTCATAACAGGACAGCACAGGACCATGTGAGGCATCTCTGTTGACCCAGAGCATGCATGGAGGGTAAGTTGTAAGCAAACCTGTTTCGTACCCTTGCACAACATCCTCATCGGCCATGGGCACAGCAGCTCCCATCTGAGCCTCAACTCGGGTCTTAAGTCAGGAAGTGTCTCTGGTCAGTTTCTGAAAAGGAAATGTAAGTTCCAGTGCTCACAATCCTACACTCTCCCCACTTCCTTGCAAGTTTACTTATCTGATAAAGGGAATTATAAATACTTAGCTAATGGCCATCATGGCTTCATTTCAAGAATTAGGGTTCTAAAATCTTGAGAACTCATCTGCAGGTATGAAAATGGAGCTGGTGATCATTCCCAGTGTAGCCACCTTCTATAGAAGATGCTCCATGATTTGGTTCCTTCTATTTTAGGGAACATTCTTGCCTTTTAGAGGGAAGAAGAAGAAGATCCAAAGGAGAGCACAGGAACAATGGGAAATAAATAGGGTATAACTATTGCTCAATACCTTTTCTTACTGTTCAAGATTAACTTGCAGACCTGATAAGTCCCCATAGTAAGTGTACAGTACTGAAGTTTGAAACTGGGAAAGTTAAAAAATATACTCTAAAGACCATTTCTTTTAAATATTTTGTTGGGAAAGAGAATCCGTCATGGAAACTGAATTCTTTACCCTCCAAAAATAGTTGTAACATAAACCCCTCCCTGGTAGAAAATATCAACCCCACTAATGTTAATGGAAGCAATATCACACAACCCTTTTAGCAATCAGTATCAAATAACCAGTGTGTGTAGTGTTCTGGAATTTGGGCCTGGAAGACTCAGATTCAAATTCAGTGTCAGCTATAATGCTTACTGATGAATCTTGCACCGATTGCAACCATTCAGCCCAACCCAAAACTCTATGAAGGAAGGGTGGAATACAGATGCAGAGATGCATATTGTGCACGCATGCATTTCGGTGGGATCTGCACATTATGCACATTTGGATGGCAGCTGAGCTTTCTTAACCTTCCTCAGAGAATGAACTGAATGATGCTTGAATGAGGTGCAGGAACCACTCCATGTGACTGACACACTTCACTCTTATTAAGAGGGATCCAACAGTTTGCACATCCAGTAACTTGCTGTTGGAATGTTGATGATCACCAGACCTCTTTGGCTTGCCAAAACCATCCTGTTCATGAAATATAAATGGAAATATAGTCATGGTGAAGAGGAAACACAGTTGAATACATGTCAGTTCTGGAGAACGCTATTGCTATTCTCAGAATATTTACAGGTGCTTTTCCACAGTTTAATGGTCTCTCTCTGCAGCCAGGGTCTTATATGTTTATTATATTTCTACCCTGCCCATCAGTCCAAAGGCTTCCTGGCTTATCACAATTTGAAGTAAGTGACGTAAAAAAATATTGCAGGAATTCCACAGAAGGAGAATGGGAGGAGACGTCTGCCATCAGGAGTCATCTATTCTATCCTCCTGAATGGAATGAGCTGGAGAGCACCCAAAATCAAAGCCAGAGTCACAGTTTGTCACAAACGGAAGTGAGTGAAGTAATAAAAATTGCCATCTGAAGAGCCGCCTACAAGTCAACATGAAGTTAGGGAACTAATGCAATTGCCATTATTAAAAAAAAAGGGGGGGGGAATTAAAACCTTTAAGTACAGAGTCTGAAATTACCACAGTGCAACACTATAAGTTATTGCAGTAGCTCAAATACCTCTCTGAAAGGGAAGGTTTAACCAGCTTAAAAAGCTTTCTAGATGCACCTACCTGGGGAGGGAGTTCCAGTGAAGAGGTCCATTGGGTAGAAATAATAGTTACACAGCATTTAGAATGGGTACACTGGATGGCTTTGTGTCAGACAAGAGTCTGGTGTTCGGGGAAAATCTGCTACTTGTTAAGAGAATGAGATTTCAATGAATTAGACCTGGATTTAATTTCCTCTTGTCTGCTTAAAAAACCAAAACCCAAAAGAGTCCTATGAATAATACATACCTTCTTTCATTCCTTATTCAAAAACACTCCTGCCTCTGAAGAAATCAAATGCGTAAATTTCATTACCCACATTTGGTCATTTGTTTTCCACATTGACTTTGTCTTCATAGCAACACTGGAAAAGCAACTTGGCTTTTTTCGAGAGACCATGCCATGGGGCTTCTTAAGGATGTGGGGAAAGGCTTTGGACTTCCTTTGTCAAGCTTGTTTCTCAGGTTTACATTGCATAAGTGTTGAGTATATCCGTACAAAATCAGGGAAGGGGAGCGACTAACAAAAGCCTGCTTCTTAAGAGCACTGCAGAGGAGAACAAGCATTCTCCAGGCCCCACACAAAAGTGGGAAACAGCAGGTCCAGAACAGAGCACTACTCACGGAGGACAGGACACTTTCTGCCTGACAGCTTGCTTTTCCTTCCAGGAGCCTCTTGCTCTTTAAGTTCAGGTGGGGGCCATCCTTCCTGTATCACAGCCTGCTGATGCTCCTTGGTCCTCGGGCACAAAAGGGCCTCTCCAGTGCGGCTCCTCCATACCGGATCACCATCTCACGGAGATCAGGCAAAGTGTTGGTGCAGAGTGTTTCCACGGATAACTTAAGACACTTCTTTTTGCCTCTCTGCTAGCTACCCTTAGTTGTGTTAATGAGACATTTTATTGTTACATTAGGATTGTGTTATATTCTTTCATGACTATGAATTTCTGAATTACTTTGAGAGTTTTAAAAAGTGAAGGGCGGTAAGCAATTATCTCTTCTTTGCAGGAATTTCCCAATGGCTGCAAAAATGCTGCATCACACTGTGTTTAATGTACTTTTTTGACTCCTTGTTTTAATCCATATACCTATATTCATGCTTCTTTGACTTGATGGTTTGTGTTTTCCAGAATGCACAAGCCAGCTATGATTTCAGTAGTAATGACCCGTATCCATATCCTCGCTATACCGATGATTGGTTTAACAGGTGAGGAACATATCTAACCATGCTGCTTATCAGAAATGCATGCATGCATGCATGCATTCATTCATTTATTAGATTTGTTTGAGGGCCACCCATTAGCATCACACTGTCTGGGTGGCCAATTAATAGTGTTAGGTTGGCTGCATCACTGGAACTGGGGGCAGAAAGCCATTGCCCCAACATTTAGCCTGTCTGCATGACTATCCACCAAGCTAGCATGTCAGGCCACCTTTGAGAAGCTGGAAAGGTACAGGCCTGCAGCCAGATGGGTGGAGTGGGGGTTGCACTCAGTGGCCTTCTAGGTCCTTCCAGCTCTACTGCTGTTCCATTCCATGAATTACTATAAATAATGCTACATGTAATACAGGCTGCCTCTGTAGGGAGGTCAAACAAATGGGTTGTCTGCACAGGGGGACAATTCATGTGAGGTTTCCCTGCCAGAGGTAGCATTACTAGTGTGATGGACCACGGCAGAGGCTACCTGTGCCTCCAAGGAATAGAAAAGCAATAAGGTAGCGAGGAGAACATGCTTATTATAATCCAGAGCATTTCAGACTCTAATGGTCCTTTACCAGGGAAGCTCCAAACAGCAACACTTTCAAATGGTAACATCTCTCTTGTTCTCCTCAGTTGCTACATCACAAAGCTCTTCCAGGTCCAACATTCTCATCTGATGTAAAAGAGAACTCCTGGCCACTCTGTCTGAACTAAGTGTCTATCTCTTCACTAACTATAAAGGGCACAATCCACTCAAAATTAAGCACATTTAAGGCACATAAGTTCTCTAATTGAAATCATTAAGAGCTCAAAACTATGCATATTCGTTGTTATGTATAGACAAGTCATCTCCAACTTATGCAGAACCCCTTGCATGAAAGCTCTCCAGAATTCTCTGTCCGCAAGAGCCCTGCTCAGCCTTTGTCAATTCAAGGCCGTGGCTTCCCTTATGGAATCAATCCAACTCATGCACATTTAGATGGCAGCGAGGGGGGGGGGGGGGGGGAGAAGACACCTCCTACAATTCCAAGGAATGTTAGGAGCTGTAAGAGGTTTAGCTGGGGAATTCTGGGATTTGTAGGACTCCTTTGTCCAAACAGGTATGGAACTGTGCCCTAAAATATTAAGCTTAGTCTGGATTGTGTCCAAATCTATTCCCACCCCCGCAGTAGAACAGCATCACTAGCATCTTCCTGACAAAGACTTTATGGCAAGGAGTTAAGACTCTGGGCTGATATTCTGTTGTTGTTGTTTGCATAACCTTCTCCTGGGAACGTTTTTACCTGTGAGAATGACTTGCTCTCTGTTCCAAGGAATGCTGCTATCTCTTTAAAGATGCAAAGCAGGGAGCTGTTCCATGCACTTGTCCTGGCTGTTTGCCACTGCAAAGGCAGGCAAGGTCTGGGAGCTGGTCTGATGCAATGGCTGTGGGCCAAATGGATCTGGCCAGTATTTGCACAATTAGCGATTCTGCAAATGGATTTTTAAGCTTTCAGAGCAGATGTGGTGGGAGGGAGTGTAGAATGTCAACTGTTCTGAATCGGGAGCTTGCTGGGAAGTGGGGGCCACTTGATCATTTGTACGGAAAGACAACTGACTCCTTGCAGTGGCCAATTCCTGCCCTAATCCAAATGGACTCCCATTCTTTTGAGCCTTGAGAGCAGCTACAAATGAGATGAACACAACTCTCCCTGTGAGGCAGCTGCCATGGTGGAGCAAGCATTCGCTATCTGAAAATTGATTGGATTCCAGCTGCCACAGGCCCAAAAGCATCATCCCGGGATGCACACATTTCAGAGGACTCCCATTTTGTTGCCTGGGAAGCGGGGAGGTCAACCTGCCAGTTGGCAAGGGAGATTTGGGCTAGAATCGGTGCACATACTTGGGACTAATTGAAGTCAGTGGGGCGTATTTGTGAGAAGACATGCCTGGGACTGAAGGGTTCATTGGGAAAACAGCACTGGGGAGAGAGTTGTCCTTCCTACTCATCATGATCCAAATCCAATTTGGGGAGTTGTTTGTAAAAGAAACTGAATGATGGCAGATCTGATAGAGGGTAGATCTGATCATCATTGCAATGTCTTCTCTAGTGTGGCTCTTAGAGATCTTTAGAATGGATTCCCTACTTCCAGAGAATACCAGTGAAGAATCTGGTTTTAAATATTTTAGGCTATGAAGAGGAAGATAATATGAAAAACATATTTTTCATAAGGCTTTTGATGTGCAAAATGTTGTTCCAGTTGCTCTTGGAAATGATCCAAGTGCCAAAGCACTATCACTTTTAGTCCAGCCACCCTGCACCTGCCCCAAGCTTAGGATTCTCACAATTTTTTTCATCAGTGTATGACGATGAGAGGACACCTGGTATTTAACAAATGTGCTGCAATGAATTAACCATGAACATAAGGAAGGCCTCATGCTTCAAGGATCTCCAGGCTTCCGAATTTCTAATATTAAGCCTCATTTAAGTAAATGATTCTTGGGGAGAGTTCTGGAGCAGCAGTTGCAAATGATTCATTTAGATTTGAAAACAAATTTTCTATTCATGCAGAAAATCATCTGGACTTGGTAACTGCAAGTTCGACAAGACCTCCTAAATCCATCTTGGGTTGTTAGTTTGGAAGACCACATCGCAGAATAGATTGATAGGACCACCCAGAACAGCCTCAGCCCACTATCTTTGATAAGAGTTGCATACTGCATTATTTTTCTTTTTGTTGAAAAAACAAGAGGAGAAGGCACATTTTTGAAACAGAGACCCATGAGACAGTGAAAAGGGTTTTCTCAATTGCCTATAGAAAATGTGTTTTGGAAGATGCAATGCTCCTGCATGAATTCTACACCTGTTCTCATGAATTGCAAGATCAATTGCTAACCACCTAGCATTTTATACATTTTAGATGTTTTGGAGCAACACCAAACAATGACAATGTTATGTTTTAATTTTCACTGGGGTGCCTCAAAAAAGGGGGAAAAAACTTTTTCTGAAAAAAGCTGGGCAACAATGTACATTTTCTACAGGCATGTGAGGTTCCTTCTCTCTCTCTCTCTCTCTCTCTCTCTCTCTCTCTCTGTGTGTGTGTGTGTGTGTGTGTGTGTGTGTGTGTGTTGCTTGTTGGCTTCTATTGGTTTTGTTGGCCAGGATCAGCAGGTACTTAGAGCCAGACTTAAGGCGCACAGATCCTGGGTCCAAACCCAGCCCTCTTCGGGTCCCACCAGGTGTTCCACCAATAGTTTCCTGGCTATTGTGCAGCCACCTCCCATTCTAAAAGCTGGAGTGCATCCTTCAAGGCTTCAAGATCCTCTGGCATTAAGGGCTTTAAGCTACAACATGCTGGTATTTTATGAATCAGGAGCACCCATCTTGCCTTCAGCCCCACCCACCACTAGCATGCAGATGCTGAGAGCTTCTTTAGAACTGAATTTGGCCATAGGACTGCAGATATTCAACACCCCTGCTTTACAGATACTCCCAGCAGTTCACGTATGGGATAAGACAAACCCTTTGTTGATAACTTGGGAGGGGGGTTGAGAAACCTGCCAGAAGCCCCTTTGGGCATGCAGAAATCGCTGCTTGCTTCTTTGGCTCCTGGCTAATACTTACAGCTTGTCCTTTTTGTATGAACTCAGAGCTTCTCCCATTGGGCTCCTAATGGTCTTGTGCTCAGGCACAGATCAAATTCATGACCATTTCCACAGGCGATACTAGGAGGAGGAGGAGGAGGAGGAGGTAGGCAAGCTCTCTGCCAAACTAGCCTGCTCTTCATGGCCTCCTTACCTGGCTTATCTGTATTTCAGAAATCAATAGGTAGGGCAGGGCTGCTTCCCCCTGCCAAAAAGCACATGCCCCTTCGGTGCCACTCCAGGATTTTTCTCCATGGCTGCACTGCCCTTTTGCCTCACAACAGAATTACAGAACTGAGTTCCTCCAAGAGAATTTGCATGGCCAGCTGGCCAGTCAGGAAGCCAAGCTGCCAGTCATTTTCAAATGGCCTAGATTTGGTCTCCCCAGCATTTGAGGCCTTTGGGACATTATGTGGAGTTTGTCGTGGGTGTGTTCATATAACGGCTGGCATGAGAGTACTTCCAGTTGGTGTGGCCAGTCACAGAACTGCTGAAGCTGAAAGAAAACCAGTTTGTCCAAGAAACCAAGTATAACCTGAGTTCCAAAACAGAAAGCCAATCATCTGCACACACAGTTTTGTGCTGTAACACATTTTTCACAGAAGATACACTTCAAAACAAAGCACTGAGCTAAAGCTCTCCACCATCTTTGTTTTCTGAGAATGCCTCCAAGGCCTGTCATTCTTGGACAAAATAATATTTCAGAAGGCGAGTACCTTGCTTTGCAGCTAACCATCCTGTCAGTTCATGCTTTTGCTTATTAAAAATAATTTTAGAGAATCAGGCGGCAGATTGCAATGGAGGGTTCCATGGGCACATTGCTACCCATGGGCAGAGCTCCTTATTCCTAAGCCCTCTCAGATAGTGCAGCGCAGCTGCTGTCTTTCACCATTTGGAAATGCAAGAGCAACACACTCTGGGCTGCTGTTTACATTAGACATGAAGCATTGCGATGCAGGGAGAATGAAAGCATGAATGTCTACACCATCTGATGTATGAATGGAGAATAAATGGATTGGTGGGCTCTAACGCTAAGATCTGTTTCTGTGACAAAGACAGAGGGAAGACACTGAGTGATCAGCAGGCTTCCTGCTCTCCAGAGTGAAAAAGAGGGTTCACTGGGGGGTGTACAATCAAAAGAACATTTGCAGTTTCTTCAGACATGCAGGAAATACATGAGCATGTAGGCAGCCCTGAAGGGACTGCCAATATGGTGTTAGTACAAGCCGCTTTTATAACCCACCAGTTACATACAGTTTGGAGGAGGGTTGAGGATCAGATCAGTTTGCTAATGGCACAGCAGGATAAAACAATAGGGAGTTAAGATGACACAAAAGGAAGACCTTCAGGAAAGGGTCATTAGCATTTCTAAGGTGTGTGTGGGAAGCAAGACTTGCAACATGGCTTCCTGATCTGATCAGGAATCCCAACCTAAGTCAAAGCTGTCAGGCTTTTAGCAGTCATATTATGGTAAAGCCATTGCTCCTTTTGTCCTATCACAGCCCAAGAAGCCGTGCAGGGCAATGGGTGTTAGTATAACCTCCTTGTGCCTTACAGGCAGGCCACATGGGCTGGGTATCAGATGCCTAGCAACACAAGAGCATCTTCTACTGCCCCTTTATCAACAAAGCCCACTGTGACCGAGGGAAATGTCTTTGGCAGGGCAAAATCATAAAAAGTTGGCCTTGGCCTTCCCACAGCATTGCTTCAACGAAGGAGAAAGCAAATGCATTTAATATAAAGCAAAGCACAAAAAGAAGGGAGACACAAAGAGATCTATCCTATCTGCATAATTTAGGCTGAATATAGATGCAATGTTTCCAAAGCACTGAGGTCCATTTGCAAATAACCCCAGTGAAATGCACCTTTCCCCCTCTGGGGGCAAGCACAAGGAAAAAGTGGAAAACCAGCTCTGTGTTTCCCTGTTTTTCTTTTATTTTTTTAAGGCCACCCTTCAATAAAACTGAGATGCTACAAGAAAAAAAATCACAATATAAATATTCTGTAGGTTTGCAGCAAATCCCAACTGGGATGAGACCAGCTGGGTGGTACTCATGGTCAAAATGCAGAGGCACGCGTGGCTGCCACCTGGTATGTGGCAGGTGGCCCTTATCTATCACCAATCCTGGATAATTAAAGAGGATGCCAATTGGCACAAAATCTGCATATGCTAATCTTTATAAATAGAAGCTCATTTATAATGAATTAGTATCATTTAAATAGAAGCACAATACATCTTGTCATAGTGTGGAAGACTGTGGCCAGGTGACCTCCATTTGCCAGTCTGTTGTCCATGTGCCAAGTTTTGATGAACAACTACAAGGCCCATCTCTTCCACTGATGGTTCTTCATCTTTCAACCTTTATATAGAGGAGGCATTCAAAGAGAGGACTATCCTCCCTAAATTAGAACACATGGCCACCCTGTGTGCTGGAGCCCTCCCTGTGATGTTGTGGTGCAATATGGTACTTTGGAGCCCCAGAAAGAAGAGGAGTTTTAAATAAGATCTTTAAAGGTTAGAGTGGTCAGATGACCTCATGTAGCTCAAGGAGTGTCAGAGGAGCATCCCCTGTTTGAAGGTGTCCTCCATTTGTAGTTATGTTTTAAAATGTTAGTTTAAAGATAATGAATCATGGGCACTGTTACCCATTGGCAGCACCTGGACAGTAGACTGAGCAAAGCATCATTGGTCCATCTGCCACAGCATGGTGAGATACACTGCAGTTGCCTTCATGAATTTATATGCATATATAACTATCTGCACATATGCAATAGTGTTTGCGCATTTTATGCAAATTGTTCTTTTGCCCTCTTTTTTAGTGACCCTTTGCCTCTTTTTTGGTGATTCAGAAGTGGCTACAAATAGGTCCTCTCCCCTTGCAAAATGACTGAGGATTCTTCATTGTGCAGATTCTCCCCAGTGCTTTCTCATACCATTTGCCAGATACATTTAATAAGTACACACTTTTATTTTGTTGACTTTGGCTGGGATCCAAAGAGCAGCCTTCAGCATGCCCAAGGCCTTGGGCATGCCAGGTGGGTTTTTTAATTCATTTTTCTTTGACTGGCCATTCCTCATCCTCGTAAGGTGCTTGTTTCTGTTCCAGCAAGCTCTCCATGCCACGCAGGAAGCAGCTTTTGCCAGGCGTCTCCATTCCCAAAGGAGGCTGCTTCGAGGCACTAGTGGCAAGTGGGGAGGCTGCTGGCCAAGACAGCTCAAACCACCCTGATGCCCTCTGAGGCTGGGGCACTGCTCATGGCTTGTCAAGAGACTGGATAGGAGGCCTGCACACAGTGGATGCTTTCAGGCTTTTTGGAGGCTGTGGATCCCACAAAGCTTTGGCTGGCATCTCTGTCTTTCTCTGCAGTCATGGAACCAGATGTGCTGGGGAAGTATCAGCTGCAGCAAACAACAACATCTGTGGAGTTGGAGTGGCATATAATTCCAAGGTGGCAGGTATGGCATAAATTAAGGAACAAACCAGCAGTGTCCTCCTGTGGCAAAATTTAGATCAAATTTGCCTATTAGATAAAGTGGCCTTTCTGCCATTTTTCTGATGTGCTGCATTAACCAAAAGACTGGATCCTTTTCATATCTACATGCATGCTCCTTAGTTTCTTCCCCTTCCCTGCCCTCTCTTGCATTTCCTTGGTTATCTTGCTGGCCACCATTGCTTTTAAATGCATCTCAAATAATTAAGGGTGCAATCCTAGGCATATTTAGGCAGAAAAAGGATCGGGAACTCACTGCATTTCCCAAATAACATGACTGGTTGCACTCTAATTAATTTCACTATCAGTTCTTACTGATACTAGACATTGCCAGTGTCTTGGGAATGAACTGTCCACATACAAATCCGTGGCTGAGCATAATGAGTTACTGTTGAGGCCTGCAGCACCATCCAGTGGCCAGCAAAAATCAGAAAAATGATGTGTCTTTGCAACGCAGGTTCAAGAAGGTGGCAAATAATTACCCTCCTTTGAAACCTGAAATGCACAATGATGAAGAAGGTTGCAGAAACCTGATGGAAGAAACATGAAGGCTCATTGCAAATGCCCTTTCACTGGCAAAAGAGCAGTGAATGGATTGACAACTTTTAGAAAATGAGCGGACTGGAAATACAGGATGAACAAAGTCTCCCGGCTCCTGTGCAAGGAACATGCCTGGAATAAGCAGGAAAACCCAGCCGGCTGTAGCCTGAGGTGCCATGCTCAGAATTGTGTCATCCCCACCAGTCTTCGTTTGCACACATCAGTTCAAAGAGGCAAGGCTGGCCAGGAACCTCTGCTGTTCCCCACATGGTTAGGCTGAATGGACTTACCTGTACGTAAGAGATGGGAAGAAGGTAGGTGTCCAGGTGTGTGGAACTTCAACTCCCAGCTTTCCTGATCATTGGCCATGCTTTTAGGGGCTTCTGGGAGCTGATGTTCTAAACATCTAGGTATCTACCTTGTGTCCACCCCTGCTCTAACAACATAACCAGAGGCCCTTTCTTTCTAAATTTTCAACTTTGCATCTTTCAATCTACTACTGGGCATATTTTAAATTTAAATATGGGAACCCCAATCTTAACTAAGCATGAATTAAGTTGTTTTAAAATAGAGCATTCTTTAATTGCCTATGGTAGATTCAAAATTGCATTTCATATATTTAGACGTTCCCTCTGTATGAGGTATTTCTGCCTCTGTCTCACTGTGCCAGCATGCATGTCAGATGTACCAGTGATCTGTGGCAGAAAAATCCAGATCAAAATTTGATGTGCACGGTTTTCTCTTACTTGGAAGGCGACCTGAACTGTAAGATGTCTGCCTGGGATAATTGTTTATTTCTTTATTTATTCATAATTTGTTGTTGATTATTCCCAGGTATCCGAATGCTAGATCAGCCATTTATGACTGATATAATTGAGGCTTCCTCCATCAGCCACATGCCGCAAGTAATTGATATCTACAGTGCCAGCTGGGGCCCGACTGACAATGGCAAGACTGTGGACGGACCAAGAGAGCTAACCTTGCAGGCTATGGCAGACGGCGTGAATAAGGTAGCGGTTCTCTTCTTGAAGCATCCTGGTGTGTCAGTGCAGGATCTCTGACTTGCTGTGTGAGTGGCTTTCACCCTACAGGTTTTCACACAGCCAATCAAACATAATACACAAGCAGATCTGAATAATTCATTGCCAGGGGCTTAAATGTACCCGCTAATTAATATGAAAAATCCTGCTAACTATGCAAGGATTTGTAACAGCAGAGCACTTCAAGCAAAATCAGCTAATTAGATGAGAATATCCTCGGGAAGGGAACAGCAAGCTCTTCCATCTGATGGCTATGCCAAAAACCGAAGGGGAAGAGAGCAGCAGTGCAGGGAGTGACTCAGGTGTGCAAAGAGGTGTCTTTCTGCGTGGACATGCAAGGCACGTGTGGCAGGATGGGTGGGAGCAGCACTACAACTGAATGGGTTTTAAAGGGAACTCAGTGTGTGATGAAAGGGGTTCCTCCACTTAGCTCTTTTGCATATTTTTGTCACTACCAACAAACTTGCTGTTAATTCCAGATTTTCTTTCACAACTGTGTTTTCTAAATGGACCTCAAGAGCTTTCGATGAATCGGTCATCCTCACACAATATGCTTTGTTTGATATTACATGTGCTATATTGACGGAAACAGGTTTTCCTGTTCTTGTTTGCTTTCTCAGGTGTTGGCCATGGAACGCGCTTGTTTTCCTCCAAAACAGCTTGCTTTTTAAATGAGTTTCAGCTCAGGGTTAATCACCAAGAAAAGGGTGGCACACAGCCACTTGCTTTCAGATTGGCTTTTCGCACCTAAACGTTGTCTTAAAATTGCAAGCCGATTGAAGAGCTTGCCCTCACTTTGTGCCAGCCAATGTGTTGCACATAGGAAAAGGAAACATATGCAGAAACTTATTTCTGCCTCTAAAATTTGCTTGTTTATATCAGCCATGATGCAAAAAGGCATGGTCTCTTTGTGCAGTGGATTTCTTTTGCAGCTTCTGCTTCCCCATGGACTCTCCAACCTCCTTCAGTTCCTTCCAATGTCTCCTGCCAACCACTCAAACTGACTCTCAAAACTTGGGGGAACTTAAAGAGGGTTTGTGGGTTCAGTATAGGCAGTAGCAGAAAGGGAATGTGAGAATCAGGAACTGGATGGGTTTTTCAACTTCAAATTGGATCTAGCAAAGATCTTGTTAGGTACAGTATATGTAACATTGCCTGCATGAACATTGCGGGGTTCTGTCCACAAACCAGAGTGGGAGGGAAGGGGTTAACACCATAGACAAGATGAGACTGACTTCTCCGCTTGAATGATGTCCTTCCTGTCCCTTTGATCCCTGCACCTCACCTCAAAAGGTCACATGACCATTTGCCCTGTTTCTCTTGCCCACCACAGGGGAAGAAGCAGGGGCTTCTCTCTCCTCTCTAAGCTAACCAGGTAAGGGTGAACCAAGATTTCTTGCATGAACATACCACCTCTCCTTCATACGAAGGAGGAGGATGTGGATAAAAGGTTTATTTATTTGCATATGGGTGGTTTGCAAACAAATAACCCTTTTGATTAAAAGGCCTCTCATTGTGGATTCTGACAGACCCAGCTGCAAGCCACAGTCGCTTAACCAAATCCGCTGTTCTGTGCTTACCTCTGCCGAGCCTGCACATCACCAGCACATCTATAGCAGGTTCCCGACACTTCGGTGCTCGGATGGCCTCCCCCTCTCCACAGGAGGCTTCCCATTTAGTGGATCTTTTCCCCTGGATGAATAGAGGATGAGGCATGTTTTGCCGTTCCCCCTCTCCTGTGTCCCCCGGAATGTGCTATGGAGGATTGGGAAGCCCTGTGGAAGAGTGGAGGTGGGAGACCATTGGGGGCTGCAGAGGGAGGGCTAGTCAGCCAAGAGCACCCCCTGCCCTTCCTACCAGGAGCGGTCTGAGCAAGACTTCATTGGCCACCAGTGGAAAAGACGCTGAAACCCAGCCCTGCCTCCTGAGCTGGATATTATCTTAAGAGAGCCTTCGCTTTGCCTAAATGATGCAGCTGTCCTGTGCAAAGGGTGAAGCTGGGTTCAGCAGGGCTAGTCAGTTTAATGCCCTCAAGATCTTTCATACCTCAGTGTCATAATCCCTGGTCATTAGTCAAGCTGGCTGAGGATTATGGAAGCCGTAGTCCAAATGTCTCTCAGGCACCAGCTTGCTTGCTTCTGGTTTACAATTACATAGATCTACATTTTTGGGCTGGGGGTACATCTGCTCGCCACTTCCACTTGGTGCACTTCCACTTCCAGGGTCCCTTTTGCACAGTAGTAACTTCAGATGATCAACCAATACTGCCCATGTTTCCAACTTTTTTAGTCCTCCTGGTATTCAGAGCTGACCTTTCCTTTTTCCTACTTTACTTCTTCCTTGCATAAAGGAACCTCAATTTAACACAGAGTTCCACATGCCTTAAATTGACTTCACTCTGTGTTGTGCTGGGACCAGTGAATTTCACTGGCTTTCTGTTGTGGCTGCACTGGGACAACCCCTGTGGCAAGGATAGTATTCAAATTATTTGTCTTATACTCTTATTTTGTAAGCAATTTTTGGAATACGTCTGAAGGGTGGGATGCCTAAAATAAAATACAACAAATAAAACATGTTCACTTCTACAAACAAACACCAAATTTGAAGCCACACACACACAAACACAATAGCAGCTGCAGCAGATATGGACAGAAGTATAAAAATTAATCATGTTTTATCATATTTTATTCCCAGTTGAAGCGCAAATTAACCTGGCATGCAATGCTAGGCAGAGGCTGACACATGTTGGACACCTTGGGAGTCCCCTCCTGAATGTAAGACCAGCTGCAGATCCTACAGCCCTGAGGCCTCCCAAGAAGGTCCCTTTCCAGAGCAGACTTGTCTGACCTGGTTCTCCCCAGATGTGTTCGACTCCAGCTCCCATAATCCCTGGGCACCATGGCTACAGTCCATGCTGGCTGGAGGTGATGCAAGTTGCAGTCCAATCTGGATAGCGCCAGTTTGATGAAGGCTGTCTTAGAAAATCTCAGGCATCTGTTCAGATTTCCTCTGCAAGACACAAGCTCCTGTCAAATGCACGATTTGTACCACATTAATTGGAACAAAGATAAATTGCAGCATAATAACAGAGTGCGGCTGTGTATCCTGCTTTACGAAGGAAAATCCTCTGTTTGAAGGGCTGTCAGAGGATAGTCCAGTAAGAGACTCCAGTCCAAGTGGCATTTAGCCTCACAGAGCCACAAGGTCTTATCCACAGCTGGGGCCCTTAAGTTGCCCTTCCAGGGGCTTTAAAACTGGCCTCCTGCAGTTTGCACTTGGACTGCAGACTGAGCAGCACCTGGATCACCTGGTCAATCTTCCCTAAGTGTGGTGAGACACAGTGCATTTCTTCTTACTGTACAGAAACCAGTTCTAAATTTGCAACTGTATGTAGAAATCAGCACATGCTGATTATACATGTATGGAATTCCTCTCTTTTTTGTCCTCTTCTTTTGGAGATACATCTTTTTTCTTTTCCTTCAGTGGACAAAAGGCCATCCTAGACCAAGTTAGTCTCCTAGGATGCCCATGAGTTCTCTGTGGGGAAGGGGAAAAACCTGCAATTGAATATGCCATCTCATAGTTATAGTACAGAAAGCCCTCCTTGAACCATGATCCAGTGAGCCATCAGAATCCTAGTGTCCTGTTTTTCATGGAAATTCAGAAACTGGAGTGGGAGAGCAAGAGACATTCTGGCTGGAACAGCACATTCCCTGGCACACATGGCAGGGTAGACCAGAAGGCAGAAGACTTCTTCCAGGTCCATCAGCCTAAGCCCAGCTCTCAACCTGTAGACATCCCTGCATGAGGCCAGCGGAAGAGGCCTAGGATGCTATAAACTAGAAAAGGGAGATCAACAGAATTAGCACCGCACTGCCCTATGGAGTCCCACCACCTCCCTGCTTAGCCTAAGCTCACGCTAGGAAACCCTTGTTAAGAGACTTGCACATTGCAAACAGAGTGCTTCTCAAATTAAGTTGTCTCATAATTTACAAAGGCCACACTGAAAGCCGCACAACTATACGACACGAGTCTCTCCTCCCTCCTCCATTCTATTTTTGCCCTTAGGTTCTTCAGAGAAGCATACCAGGTTTTTCTTTTCTTTGGAAAGCATTTGGTGGTTGCTGCCAAAACCTGGTAATTAGCACCCCTGCTAGGATGTTCCAGTTCAAAGCTTCTGTAGTACTAAGCTGGCAAGGAAAGGAACATATTCTAACTAGAAAATGTGACCTTCAAAATGTTCTTGGTGTTGTAGCAGTACACTTTCATTTTCATTTAACTGCAAGACCTTTTTAAAAATGTTGTTATGGAAATCTGGGATAATAGCAGAGTTCTCGTATTTTTCAGTATCTGTATGTGTACACTGTTGCCCCATTCAGAGTGGACTGCCGTCCTCTGATGCCCCACATATAATCTAGGGAAAACTCAGTGCCTTTCAAAAGAGGGTAGAGGTTTGCCACAGATGCTGCATACCTTGCTTTGCCCATTTCTTATCTTAAGGCAGGATCTTAAGAGACGTCAAATCTCTCTCAGCCCAAAGACTGAATTCTGTTTTCAGAAAGCTCCTGGAGAGAAAGAGATTCCAGTGGTGGCCAGTGCTAAAGGCAAAAGAGCTGGTGGCAGAATTTAAAAAATGACTAAAAATATTTTAGTTTAAAGCCAACAATGAAGTCTTAAGAGAGGCTCTTCAGCCTTTTTAGAATGGGGAAACTTGGCAGAAAAGCCAAGAAGTCACCAAACAATGGGTGGAGAGAGAAAGGCAGGTGAGCTCACTGTGGAACCCAGAACACCCGGATTGGGACCTCAGAGGGGCAGACTTTGGCTCCCCTGCCTGAGGTTCTTCACACCTATCCTGTGGCAGCCAAGGGCTACTTTACATCCCCATATTTTTTATCAATAAAAGGTAAAGGTTTCCCCTTGACGATAAGTCCAGTCATGCCTGACTCTAGGGGGTGGTGCTCATCTCCGTT